GCTTTGGGTGCCTTGAAAAGCGCTATATAAATCCAATCCATTATTATTATTAGATTTAATCAGAGCTACAAAATTCAGTCTTAATTACATACCTACAGAGTTTAGCTTGTCCAACTCTCTGACATATAGACCCAACAAGTAGGGGCCTTGTCTCTCTTTAATAAACACACTATGTTTCATAAAGTGTCAATGACATAGTCAAAACATGCTTATATCACATTTCAATGAGCCTGGAAAACCCTGGATTTAGACACCTTATTTTATCTAAATCACACTCTGACTGTTACTGTTCCACCTGAAATCAGTTTTTCTTTTAACATGGAGACAGTTGTGGATAATTTGCAAGTGGCAATAAAGGCGAAGTTCATACTCACGTTAAATCTCTGTTGAACTCCTGCACTGGGTTATAAAACACCTCATTGGCACTGGGGAACAAGATGGCTGCCTTTCCCTCTTTAACCACTGTCTCTCCTGGTAACAGTCCCACAGAAGGCATCTTCTCCTGGTCACCTGTAGAGCTAGTGGCGGACTGGCCCGTGCCATCTGCTGAATCTTGAGCAGATGCAGCTGGAGGGTTAGAGGCAGGAACTTCAGTTTCCATGAATCTCACTCCCCTGCTAGCAGCAGCTGCACTCCACCGAAATCCTTGTCCGGCTGAATGTGTGCGAGAGGGATGCAGGTGATGGGAGATGATGAAGGGGAACAGCCGGGCTGTCCGCACCAGCATAAAGCCACAATGGCTGCAAGGAAACACACATTTAAAATGTCTTAAGTAATATATTGGCGTAAAAAAAGAACAACCTCACAGTTTCCTCAATACAGACTTGAATCACGCACACCTTCAATAAAGAGCCGTTACATGCAATTCTTAATGGTACACTACAGCCTTGGCAGTCATCAGATCTCAAAAAATATGGGTGATTTTGTGTGAGACAGCACATACTACAACCATGACAATACCACATCAGTAGAGCTTGACCCGTCTGGAGTTCATGCTTTTGAAGAATCAATGGGTGTTCTGCCATTAACCAGATGATCTCTAGCTGATTTCTTTGAATGAGCAGCTAAGCAGCTGTTAATCACTTTTTTGATTAATAAAAATAAATGAAAGTGAGAGGTGCAATTTTCTTAGTGTTCTTAGAAAAGCTTTAAACGGTAAATAGGTTTTCTGACCGAACTTAGAAACTCATATTTCATTTGTGATGTGACAAAAAGCCACATACCCGAGCCTTTCCTTTCACTGGAGTGTGAATGAACACATTCATATGCATGTTAGCACACTGGTTTATCGTGCCCATCAAAACGTTAATGGTATCCTTTGAGTCCCCAAAGAAGTTTTAACTTTTTAAATGGCTTACACAGCTGCTGCCGAGTACAGGTTCGCCCAGTCACTGATGGATTAAGACTCCTTCAGCACTTGAATATGAAATATCCTCTAAAAATGCACTTTTAACTCACCTTTGTAGCTTCTACAGTTCAGTCGTTCAATAAAATAACAGTGAGTAAATCTCTGCTCTGTTGAAACGGAGCAGAAACGGATGTTACTACGGTAACGTTTCTGCATACAACATACGTTATCGCCGCAAACTAATTAGCATGTTGACTAGCTAGGCTAAATAAGAAAAGGTTAAGTGCTTTTACCCGTGTCACCTCCTTTGCGTGGACACTGGCTCTCCTGTTTTCTTGGAAGTTTTATTATTTTGTTTCCAAAGCAACGGGCACCCCTGTGCTAGCTGTTTACTCTCTGTTACACACCGCTTGCGGTTCGCTCTCATGTTAACACATGGAAGCTGCCATGTTTGACGCGAGCGACTCTACGGTGGCCCGCGCGGGCAGAAAATAGAGCGCTAAAAAGGCTTGCTCCCCGCCCCCTCCCCTAACCTCCGCCTACAGCCGTGTAATGTAAGGGAAACAGTGTAACGTGAGGACACATGAGAGAGAGGGTCTATCGCTCTGCCGCTGCGCAAAGTGGCCTACTTTCCCCCGCAGTGAACATGCGAGGAAACTAGAAAACACATCATGAATAATCTAATTTAATCTCACCGTGCCCGAAGTTAGTGATGCATTCTGATGAAAAGGCTAAACATAGTCTATGGATTAACTCAGACCTATGATGTGAGGAGATAAAAAACTGCCTTAGAGAGAATAAGGTCAGCTCGGGTCAGTGCCGAGCGGCTGTACGCGTTGTACAGGAGCGGTTAATGAAATGTAGGTCGTTATTGTGTGACAATGATGAGACAATTAAAAGCTTGCATTTGTGCTGCTCTTGCCATTTTCTTGCAGATGACAATGCTGTCACACCCAGGGTACTGTGAGTATGTATTTCCTGTCTTATTTTTTATTATAGAGAACAATGCTGGAAAGCTGTAGCTGCACCAACTACAAGGGCTTTTTGCACAATATCAGCAGTGCAGTCCTGAAGAGGGTCACTGTGTCACTGTCTCTGTTTTGTGCTTCTGTGGCAATCTAATTACCACACAGCAAACGCGGGTCTGTTAATATTTCAGTAGATAAAAACGACATTTTTATTCAGATAATGTGGCGAACATTAGAACCCAGCAGTTCCTAGCAAGCATGATCTCCCCTACAATAAGCCCGACTTCCTAGACAGTTATGTCCTATTTCAGATGCTTGTGCTTTATTCGATTATCTTTTATTGCCACTGCAGAAATCCTATCACTTTGTACTCATTATTTAAAAGCATAAAACATGCTGAAAACATTGTAATTCATAAACTCACTGGGCCTCTATCAGCTACACTTCTTCATCTACTTGTAAATTCAGTTTTTGAATCAGTCAATCCCATGACATCAGCTCAGTGCATTCACACCGGTAGATATGGTCAAGATAGCCTGCTCACGTTCAATGTCCAAAATATCTAGTGAGCCCCAGTTCTCTAGGTGAAAATGCCTTGTTGATGTCAGAGGTCAAATGAGAATTGCCAGACTGCTTCAAGCTGAAGGCAACAGCACTGAAATAACCACTTGTTAAAATCAAGGTATGCAGAAGAGCATCTCTGAATGCACAACATGTCAAACCTTGAAGAAGGTGCACTACAGCAGCAGCAGACTGTACTGCTGTCAGCTAAGAACAGGAAACTGAGGTTACAGTTGACAGGGTCTCACAAAATTGAGATAATCGAAGATTGGAAAAATGCTGTCTGGTGTGAGGCATCTTTGCATGGATCCATCCTTCAGATCCGTCACTGTACTCAAGTAGTGTCCACAGTCACCAGATCCCAATCCAGTAGACAACTTTCAGGATTGGTGGAATGGGAGGCTGACATGATGAACGTGCAGCTATCAAATCTGCAGCAACTGTGTGATGCTGTCATGTCAAATATGGACCAAAACCTCAGAGGAATGTTGTTGAATGTGTGCCACAGAAAATGCCTTCAAAATCAGCTGATTGCAAGTATAAACAACTTTTATGAGTCTTACTACGAGCCGCATTGAGGCCAAGATTATTTTGATAAAATACTTGCATGTTTTTTTCAGGTTTCAACAAGGTGCTCTGCTACACCTACAGCTCTACTGAAGCATACGATGTATGGAAATGTACACTACAGCATGCTATATGATAATAATAATAATAATGGCTTGCATTTATATAGTGCTTTTTGGGACCCCTCGAAGCGCTTTACCACTATCCATTCACTCTCACATTCATACACTGGTGAAGGCAAACCACAGTTGTAGCTTGTAGCTATATGAGTACTGTAACAACTGTTAAAGCCATTACTGGTTTAAGTACAGTTTCTCTCACTATATTTTTTTACATTAACAAGTCTTCTGCATGTGCTAACAATAAAATAGCTGAACTGAATTATTACAGTATTGCACATTTTGCATCGTAATACATTGTACAACAATCCTACTAATACTACTACTACTAATAATAATGATAATGAAAATAATATAAATAATTATGATAATGATGATTGTAGTATATGTATGTTTGTGTGTTCACTATTGCATCCTAGACAAGTGAACCAATCTTGATGAAACTTTGCATAAACACTGCCTCGGGCAACATCTATGCCATATATAAATATCTGATACAATTCCCACAATCTTATTCATTTATATAACTGTTACATCAGTCTAAATGAACACACTGTCAAACTCAATCCTGAGATTGTCCTTTAGCTGACATGCAGAGAGGGCATGTGAGCTTTCGGCACAGATTTCACGCTGTGTTTTAATGTAAGCAATTTTTTTTTGGGATGGTGGTGGTGG